CAAAATGGGTGTCCTCCCTAGGCAAAATCGACGTTTCGACCTTGCCGGTGCAGTTCGTTTTGTCATCCGGGGTCGCTAGGACGACGTTGTCGACACTCGGGTCAAAAAAACGTCAAATACCCGTCAAATTTCAAATTTCACAAAATTTCGACCCGCAATCGATCGTTTCAAAAAGTTTATTTGAGCCTTCAACAAATAATAGTGCAAGCGATGTGAATTGCGGCGATCGGACGTGTCGACTCTCCGAATTGCGAAGTTTGTGCGCGCGAGAGTGCGAATTGTGCAGAATGTCACCCTAAGGCTCATAAAGGTCATATAGGAATTCCTTTTGGGTTTCCTCATGTCGGTTTCACCCTTCTAAGTGCTAGAAGTCGATACCACACACGCGAAACTCCAAAAGGGGACAGAAGTGGGTTGAATGGGTCAAACTTCTAAAATGAGGCGAGTCCCATTTCTAAGGTTCTAAGATAGTCAAAGGGAGACTCCTAAAGCTAGATCCTAAACCCTAAGAGGAGGACTAGACCTCACCAAAAATGAGGTCAACACATGCTCGGAGGAAAAATGATTTGCAGAAAAGAATGCTTAAATTCCTGTATATTTTGCACATTTTTATGGATGAAATTGCCCTTTAAAGAAATATATTATTAATTTTTTCATGCAGGTATAACATCTATCAGAAGTGGAGCAAAGTGGAGAAGAAATGGAGCAAAAAGCAAAGCAGAGGAAACTTGGAGCTAAGGAGGCTATGCCAGAACTGGGCGCCTAAGCGCCCATGCCTGATTAGGCAGAAAGAGAGAACAAATTAGGCTTACAAATATGGGCTATAAGGTGGAAATCAAATACCATAAAAAAAACTTATTAAAATGTTTAAGTCAATCTTTTCCTTGCAATATGAGGTTTATTTTCAAAAGAGATAATCTCCTTACACAAAAGTTAGGCATAATTTTCTACGAGTTCTCTATAATTCTTCTTTTTCTGTTACCTATTTTTTATTATTACTTGAAAGTGTGATTGAATGTTTTGTCACGTCCGGCCTAGGACTTTAAATTAACCAAAACGGGTACAAACGGTCGAACGGTGAGAATTAAGATTTCTCTATTTTATTTCTATAACTAGCTATTAATAAACGAAAGAGCCACTAATCAAATTAAATTGAAATAGTATAATTAAATTTACCTCATTTACATGTTGCTTGCATCTTCTATAAATATTTTCTCTTCTATTACTCATCTTTTAATAAATAAATTTTGCCTGAAAAAGTTAGTTTAAAACAACAGTAAGCAAAGTTAGTGAACACTCACACTTCTAAATTACAGTATTACAAAAAAAATAAAAATAATATGCATATCAATTAATATTTTAATATATCAATATAAATGTTTGATGAATATGATGTTATTCAATAAATCTTACTATATCAATAGTATATTTATATCATATCATATGTACAACCGTCACAGAACACTGTCTAAAATTTCTATCAATTAAGATACTTCAATATCAGTATTCTTTTCCATTTATGTGCATGTGTGTGCCTTAGCGTTTTCCTTCTGATAACATAAAGGGGGGACTTAATCATTATCAATCATGCTCATACAAGCAATCAATGTAGACATATCATTCATGTGTCTTTTGTGCTCATATATAACATTTACATATATATATATATATATATACATCCAATATATGATAGTAAGCAGCTACAAACATATAACATTCATAATAATGTGACCAATAAATAAAGAAATATACCTATCAAAATAAAATTTGTGTGAGTATCATTCACTACTAATGTAAAATTATTGAGAAAAACAAATTATTACTATAATTAAAAGTACAAATACTCACATTGATGATAGTCGATTTGCTTGCTTTTAACTTGTATTACTTCTACTAATTTATGACCTATAAAATATAAAATATTCACTTATCACTTTACTTAATTATGTTTTGATTTAATTATCAATTATTATTGCATTGCACTAATTTAATTAAGATTTCAATACTTAAAACTTTAAGTTGATTATTGCAATAAAAAATAATATTAAATATTATTAACTTATACAAAAATACATTTAAAATAAAAACCTTAACCTTTCTTTAATGCCTGAAGCAAATGTTTTTATATTTATCATTTAAATAATGAACTTATAAATATAATATATGTAATATTTAATTAATAACTTAATTAAATAATTTACCCTTAATCTTGGTCAGAAAACCATTTCCCTGCACGCTAGCCCTTCTTCTTTGTATGCGATAGTCGGCTCTTCTTTTTCCTTCTGCGGGTGAGATATGGATAGCACGAGAGCTCCTCTGCAGAGCTACAACATCTTCCTCTTCGACTCCTTCGATCGCGGCTCGACACTCACCTCAGCCCCCCTTCTGCTCTG